CTTTCCCTGGGTTCAGGAGGTAGCCCTACAGTCAGTTGCTTGTGATGGGAAATAAGATCTGTGCAGGCCTGAGGAACAGACAAGTACAGGTGGAATAAAGTTACTGAAGTAAATGCAATAAACACTGATTCTCCTCCCCTCCCCCCTAGGTCAAACACACAGACAGACGTTATTCAACAGGTATTCAGCAATATTCCCTCATACTCTGGCTGATTAGCAAGTATTCTGATGCAGCATTTCTACTAGCCACTAGATGGTGGTAGAGCCTTTTATTCTTTATTCTGTTATTTTCTGCTGTAACTCTACTTTTATATAACTTTTGGCATGTCTAGTATCCAGGGTTATCTAGAGTTATCTATCAACTGTGCAGTATGTTGCTGACAAAGAACATGCTGCTAAACCACCTTCATGGGATAACAAATGACTATGACTTGTCACTGACTTCAGCGAGGACCTCCACTCTCTTGCGTAGCATTCCAGAAATGTATCTGATGAGTCCCCACTCTTTGGAGACTCCAGCTTGAACATATAGCTCCTCCAACAGTGATCGCACGCTGACTCCTCCCTTCCCAGGACCTGACAACTCCACCAGCCAATCAGCTCCTCTGAGAAAAAAAATCATGAGGACAAAAACATAGAACAAGCAGTTTCAAAGGTTTAATCACCAAAACTGAATTGTTGATTTAATAGCATGCCAGAGCTACAAAAAAAACTGCATGTGTTCATAGTTGTCTGTGTCCACACTTCATTATGTAGAGAATGTAGAGGATGTCAGCCTGGTCCTGCAGAGTGGGGCACTCTTTCAGCTGCTTTAACCGCGCCGTGACGTGAGTCTCGAGGCAGGTGCAGGTCATCAGCACTGTGGGGCTTGTGAGGGATGTCATTGTAAGACAAATACACTTCAGAGCAGCAATGAAGTCACAAGACAAACAAAGCTGTTTGTGGGAGGATCTGCTGTGCCTACCTTGTGCTGCTTTGCTTGTGGGCCATGCTGAGGATGATTCACATCAAGAAGGTTCAGAGTTCTGCGGTGTCTGCTCATGACAGGAGCCACAGGCAGATACATGGAAGACCCTGCAACAAACACACCAAACAAAACAAAGTATTGCAAACAGCACAACTAATTTTGAGATTTATATTTTTTTCAGATGCATTCACTTTATGTCTTCTGACAGCACCTTTAAAACATATTTTTACTCATTTTGTCTTTTAGCTATGAATCAAACTTGAAATTGCATGGATTTTAGCATTTTGGGGAAAAGTGACATGTACCTCTAGCTGTCAATAATACACAGTTAAATGTGTAAAGAATGGGAGAGCATTCATATGGAAGTTCAGTATATGAGTTAAATGATGTTTACCCATTATTTGGCCCCAAAGAGTACCTATGAACACTATCCTCACCCCAGGAAAGAGCAGATATGTGGCTTGACAAACAGAATCTCAATTGTATTAGCTAAGGTTAAGCAGTGACTGGCCCAACTGGCTTGTAATCACATTCATCTCTGAGATCCGGGTCTGTCCAACCACTGACACTGTGTTTCATTGAGCTGGGCCCACAACACCGGGAAGGCTCAACAGTGTGTTCCAGTGTCCCAGAACCAGCCCCCTCTTTGCCTGCACCCACACACCCAACACAACCCTTCATCTACTCAGGCTAATTCAGGCTCTGTTACTAAACAGTCACTAGCACTAGCAAACATTTTGACTGCTGTTCTAGCCACCAAACATTTAAAATATTACATTTCTTTATGTATTGATAAGGTAATATGCTATGAATGTATTATTGTATGAGTGGTGAATGTAAAAGAGGATCTAGACAGAAGTTCTTTAGTACTTTTCTAATATGACTTTGACCATGCATCTCTATGTGATCAAAATAATAATAATAAAGCTGCAAAACTTTGAACTTAATTAGAGCAACTAATATTGAACCTCAATAATTTTTACTGATAGGTAATGACCATTTTAGGTTAACAGCTGCTTGTGTTTTGACAACTTTTAGCACTGGAGATCTTTTGCCAGGAAAACATCTATATTCTTTTCATATTAGCACCAAATCTCAGGTTTTCTATTCACACTAGCATCAACAATTTTACAGCAATACTCACCTCTTCACCTTGTACCTAAACTGATTAATTACATTCAAAAAAGCTTACTTGGCATATTCAGGCCCTTAACCTGAGCCATAAGTGACAGGATGTCTCTTGTAGAGTGTTCAGCACTGAAGACATGGTGCTGCCCCCTCTGGATGGGAGGAAGATGACATGTGGTGGTAGTGCTATGGAGGAGCTGGGTGAGGTACTGGTCAAACATGTCTTCTGAGCCCTCTGTAATTACATTCAAACACTCAAACACTTACATTTGAACTGAATTAATCCAAAATGATTAAAAAGTACACACATGCTTTGCTTATCATTAACTACCTGAGGGCTCAAATTTATTGCATTCCTCTCCATTTTCCTCAATAGCCTCCTCATCCTCATCCTCAAAGAAGTTGTCATCATTCTCTTCATCCAGAAAGCTGAGGTGAGTGTGGAATGAAGTGGTCTGGAAACTGGAGAGATCTGACATCTGCACCCTAACATTCACACATGCAAGAGAAGAAACACACAGTACTGTTATATTACAGATATTGGAATGCCCTGGGAGAAACAAAACAGATGTTCTATTCACAGTAACAGTATGAAATCCTATGTTATAGATGGAAACGGACCTCGCTCCAGCAAAATAGCCATCCTGTAGTTTCCTGAGGGTTGCTAGGATACATGGATCAATTGCATCTCCATCTTCAACTGGACAAAGTAATATATAAATGCCATGAGGTATATTCAAAATCACAGCTACATACACAGAAACCACATATTAAATGCAACGTAGACAGAATTACAGGGTGTGCATTAATGTAACTTTGTCATTAATGACCTCTTTTTGGCCCAGTTACTCATTATTACAGTTTTATCATGTCTAGGTTATCCACAATTATGTTTTAGATGAGATTTCTGCAGACTACTGTAATTAAAAACTGGAAACTGGGAAGTGAGAAGTGGTAAGACTGATTTCCTTTGGGTAAAGAGCCTCATTACCCAGCATGCTGCGGGTAATGGGGAAAGTGAGTGTGGGTCGTCCTATCATCCTCCAGCAAGAGGAGAGATAGGCCAGCTCTGTTCGTAACATCTCCACAATCATCTGGTTATCCAGTGCCAGGTAGAAATGGTACTGATCCACAAACTAGAGAAAAGTAGAAATACAGAAACAGGCATTACTACCACCTTCTACCTAGCTCTGTCACTGTGATTATGAACATCGCAACATTTCAAGAAAGTAGAAACAGAGAAACAGGCATTACTACCACCTTCTACCTAGCTCTGTCACTGTGATTATGAACATCGCAACATTTCAAGAAAGTTTTACCTGAGGGGTGAATGTATACAAATGATTTCTGATCTCGTAGAATTTGGATGTTCCAAGAACTCCAATGTGTCTATAGGGCCTCCCACTTAAATTCAGTTTCTTGCAGTTACCTGTGGCAACGACACAAGACGTTAACTCTTATTACACACATGCACACGTTTGTTTTCATTCTTCGCGGTGACTTGCATTACTTTTGTGGAGTAATGTAATTACTTCTTAAACCAAGCGGTCACTCTAAAATTCAATGACACACATGTCCCCATGAGGAAGGCCAAGTCCCCTCAATGTGAATGTGTAAACAAGTTTCAGTCCCAACTATGTGAGTAATACAAGGCATACACACACACCTCTACACAAAGGAAATGAGTACTTATTTCAGGTTTACCCAGTCTAACATAAACGTGGCTCAGGATGCGAGCGGGCATGACCCTGATAGGCAGAACCTCTGACATTGTCTGGACCATGAATCCATGATCATTTAACAACTCCTTGATCTCCTCTGATTCTGCAAGAACACAAACTGACACACACACACAAAAAATCTGTATATAGACAACAGTAGCAGCATCAAAAGATTTGTAATAATCCTTGTTATTTTAGCTACAGGAAACTGATCAAGGCCATTGTTGCAATACTCAAGCCAGATTTGAGATTTTTGGTAAGGATCTATTAAAAGCAACCTTCCCTCTCAATTTTTGTCCATGCAACAAATTTGTCAATTATGTTCTAGTGATGTGATGGAGATTACTTCACTGTGTGACACAATCACAAGGCTCAAAACATTTGTTGGAAGGAGGAGTGTTGATTTCTACTTGTTCCTTGCTTCTTGTACCAAATTCTCACTTTATCCAACTTCTGACATTTCCCTCAAATTACTGATCAAACACCAACCTTGTACCACAATATCTGGCTTGACATTTGTAGAGAATCTCCTGTTGAGTGGATCTATCTCTCCTGGTGCTAAAAACCCCTTAGAACAGAATTAAAAAGAGACAGCCATGGTGAGGACAAATTATTACAGAAAAAAGCAATGGCACTGGCACTGTTCTTTTATGTTATCAACAGAGATGTGTCCTGTATGGCTCCATTTTCTACTAAGGGCATCTTGTAGCAGTGCCTTTTTTTCTAATTTACAAAACAAAATGCACATTATCCACAATGATTTGTGACATTGCCTATTACAGTGATAGTTACAGCCATAACAGATAGAGGCTGTGTGTTGCAAGCTAACATAAGAGGGCAACTACCTCAGCTAGAAGACAGCCCAAGATGTAGAGTGACTGCCCCCACATGTGCGGCAGCTGGCCCATGGCCACTCTGTCCACAGTGTGAGGATTCCTGTACTCCTCCTCTACCTGTAAGACGAAACATATGTTTCTTATGTGGAAGCCTGATATAAAGGTCCAGTGATTGAGATGAAACAAACATTTTTAGTCTGATGCTCTCTGATATGATTATCATTGGCACTTTGCTGACAGATAAACCCTATCATAAACATTGATTTACAATAAAATTATAACATGTACAAAATAATCCTGAGACAAACCTAAAGCACATGAATGCATGAATGTAGATAATGAAAAACAAATCGACCATAGAGGCTCTGTGAGGTTATACTCAATCACAGTGGTGTTTTGAGCTAAATGCTGTAGTTAGTATGTTAATATGTTCACAGTGACAATGCTTGTATGCTGTACCATGTTCATTTTAGCTTAGCATGTTAGCATGCTACCATATGCTAATTCCAGCACTAAATATAAAGTAGGCCTACAGCTATGGCTGATGGAAGTGGATTAGTCTTGCAAGTATTTAGTCATAAACAAAGATTCTGACCTAATAATGATGCTAGCATACTGCTGGCATGGATAAAACAGCAGATATCACTGTCATACAGGAGCCAGGCAGCTGTACAAATTAATTTTAGACTTACAGTATATAAGCATATAATAATGGGTTAATCTGGCACTGTGCTGTAGAAGAATCAGATAGATTTTGCACATTTTTGCCATTTCATCTTCAGGAGGTACAGTATTAAAGGACTCCACAGCTTCAGTGTATAGATATAACCTGCTCTGCTCATTAATTTAATAATAAAAAGAAAAATAGAATAAATATATACAATACATTATCTTCAACATGTTTTATGAAAAAACTGTGTATTTAGTATAAACAAACATTTTAAAAGATACTCATATTACTCATATATTTCTTGAAGTTAATTTGCTTTGGTTTGTTGGGTTTGTAAGGCTGTGCCATTAGAATACGGCTAAAACGGCTATCTGCTATATTTTTCTTATGGTAATGAGATACCTTGTCACGTGGTACAGAATAAAGTTCAGGCACGAGTTTGATGCCGTTCCTCCCTCTGATCAAAATGCCGTCCAGTGCCTCACGGTATTCCTCCACCTGTGCAAAACACGGTCATTCATTCATTATTACATCTGCCGTACAAGTGGCTCTCAGTGACTCTATGACTGTGTGAACAAAGAAGAAAGTGAGTGTGCTTGGTTTAATTACCTGCACTTGGTCTCCAGTAAAGATACCATCCAGGATGAGATAAGTCCAGAACACAGGCCATTCACATTCAATATTCTCAAAGAGCTTGAGCTCCACAGGATCATAGTGCAGACGAGATGGATCCTGGTGACGTATCACACAGGAACAAATATACAAAACACAATCCTCTGAAAACTCCTACAAAATCACCTATGACAATGATTCAAAAAGTGCACTCTCATTTTGTACTTTAGTTGTGAGTGTTCACCTGGGTGTATGTGTTTATCTGTAAAGTAACACCTGTTCTTTCTCACTTAGTAATTCCTTCTGCGTGTTTTCTATAGTACAGCAATTAAATACATTATAAACACCAGCCTTTAGATTTTCAAAATGCAGAATATCTTACCTCTTTAGGACAGAGATATCCGTCTCTGATGAAGCGGCAGCAGCCGTAGCGACCCTGAAACATCGCCGAAGAGTGAAAGTGTTAGTATGCTGAAAGACTATATGGTAAACAAGTGTAATATAGTGTTTCTGTGCAGTCATCCACAACAAGTGATTTGTGTTTCTCAAACTTAGACTGTACCTGCAGTTTGCTTATGATTTCTGACTTAGTGATGGCCACCAGGTCAGCATTCTCAACAGCAAAAGCAGGGAAGGAAATGACAGACAACAGACCAGCATCAATCTCCTTTGAAGTTGAAGCTCTTGGCAGCATGGAGCACAGGATGGACTGAGGGAAAACACACACATATGGGCAGAAGAAAGGCGAGTAGAGATGATATTGTGGTGGCTGGAAGCAAAGACACTGGTACCTGACAATGCTCCACTTCATCAGGCAAAACATGGATGACTGACTTGGGCCCTCCATGGGCACCAAAAAGATCCAGCTCATCTATAGCCTCCAGAGCAGCCTGAAATGCCACCCCACCATACACACATACACAAATCAACACATATATCTATGCACAAATACATACTTTACAGAGCAATTTCTTCTTTTGGTGTTTAATGGTGTATCATAAATGTTGACATTAATAAATGAAATTGATGGCCCCTCTACCTTAGCCATTCCTATAGAGCTGCCATTGAGCTCGGGGATACCCAGGTTGGTCTTGTCACCTCGCTCCCACATCCCATAATCCTAAAGGAGGAAAAAATCCTCATCATGTGTCAGGCATGTTATACTGAGGCTAATGGAACTTTGAGCAACTAATCTCAAGCAGAGATGACAAGTGGGCTACAAGTGGTAATCTGGTAAAATCACTTTCTTTTTCTACACTACAAGTTTTATTTCATTTTCAAACTTATACACTGCCTCTAGTGACATCAGTCAAGGCAATTTATCAGCCATAAATAGCTTTATACACCTTTATCATATAGTATGAAGTCAATCTGTCTGAGATTTGTAAACAAATGTTGGGATTTGCCCATCAACTCTGCTGTGTATCAGCCTCTACCTCTTGCTTTCTAGAAACTGCCTAGATCGCTGAAAATGTTACTCACCGCCACCTTGTACGCAGCCTCTATATAGAAGACCAAGTTTTGAATAAAGGCTACCTCATCCAGGTTTGAGATGATACGAAGACCTGCATGATAACATGACATACTCAAGTTCAGTGCTGTTTGGTGCATAACTGACGTGTGCTCTGTTCAAAGGAACAATGATAAGGTACTTTAGATGTTCCTCTGGAAGACCTGCAGTGCTTTCAGAAGAAAAGCTGATCAAGCAGTGTCTTTTTTGATATTATGTCTGTGAACAACATGTATAAAAATCTTTAATAATTTAATGAGTGATGGGAAATGGATAACAACACATTCCCAAATAAGTTAGCCTACTCTGAGGACACAAGCACATAAAAGGCATAAAATGCAAACACCATTCTGTATCACTATAATACCTGAGGCAGTCATCTGTGCCAGCATCAGCAGGTAAATTGAGGTGGCATCAACCTGCAGATGGCCCCACTGATCGTCCCCGACCACCGTGGCACAGGTCGAAGTATCGTATTTCGCATGCAAGCAATCCTTTGTACTTTGGGTTTGTTTGAACCTCTCCACCTTGGCCACCTGAGAACATATACACCAAATACTCAATGGTTTTTGTTGGAACCAAAAAGGGATCTGACATGACTAGAATGAAATATAAATGCATAAAGGTTTTCCTTTTTGGTGGGTAATTTAGCCTTTATTACAGTAGCAGACCACAGAAAAGAGACAGAAAATGAGGGAAGAGAGATGAAATGCAACAACCCAGGAACTCTGGCTAGTGTGTGAGCAACAAATAATATACAGTGTTTCTGCAGCCAGGCATTCACTATCACTTTCACTTCAACATGTAAATCACACATCTGCATTATGTTATCATTTGTTTGTTTTCAGATTAACTACCTACATCAGCTGAGTTTAATATACCTGACAGCAGCAGGCTGTGCCAGAAATCTAGAATATGTCGTTTACTTAAAACTGTTTAAATACCAAAATAAACCAGATAACAATTGTGGTTTCTCAGAGCCACATCACTATCTTATCGGATTTTTCTACTTCCAAGATAAACAGTTTTTATGTGCAAACACAGGGGAACAAGTAAACAATGTGAGCACAGGTGTGTCTTACCTGTCTCATCATGCACTGCAGAAGCCCCTGCATCAGTTTCACCACACTCTGCCAACAAACAACAACAGCTTCATAAGTGAACTGCAAAAGGAAGACATCATTATAATCCAAATTGTTTTCTATTTTTAGTCCAGGTAACTGTAATTCTGTCACCCCATGCAGAGAGCTGGAGAGGAGACAGTGATAATGTCCTGTGGCTGTACTTGATTTACTTTGCATCTTATATTATGATAATCCCATCTTATAAAATATGATAGATATGAATAAAATGCAAATTTCCAACTTTGGGAATTTGTAACCAATATTTTTTTTATTTCAAGTCGATTACTTTGTTTATTCTATTTTTTACATGACAATTTGGTAATTTATTCATTCTTCAACAAATTAATTAAGGAAAAATGTATCAAGAATTGTATTTTTTTTTGTTTGTTTGTTTTTGTTTTCATACTTTATATTCCCTTGTACTTCTCTGAAGTATTTAACACCATTTAGAGCAAACAGGTGCACACATTAACACTCTCTCTGTCGCTGTCCCTCTGTCACAAACACACCTGCTCCAGTTCATAAGCCTTGGCCTTATCTTCATCTCGGTCTGCATTCTTGCGGTACGCCATGCCCAGCCCCCACACAGCCAGGACACTGTACACATTGTCCCTCACCCAGGCATCCTTTTTCTGAGTACTGGCTGGCAGAAGTCCTGTCACTGGGCTCTGAAACAATCACACATACACAAGGGTTTAATTTACAGTAAGTACAGTGAGAACATTTAAACTGCTTGTTTTATCAGACCAATAGTCCCACACCCAGGGATATTTCGATTAGTATCTACTATACATAAGACAAATCCTCACTTCTGCAAAGCTGAAACTTTTTTCTTTGGAGAAAATAGCTGGCAATTAATTTTCAGTTGAAAGACTGAAGTTTCAACTCCAAATCATTTAATTTGTATTGTGATTTACAGTTGACAGTAGCAAATGGAACACAAATGAAAGATAAGGCAGGAACGGACAGCTTTTATTCAGATGCATGTTAAACGCGATCAAGGTTTCAGTTCTACATGAAGGAAACCCCCTTCCGGAAACCAAACCTACATCTTTGTATATAGGTGCTATATAAGAAAAGTTGGCTCTTTACCATCTCGATCACAGATGTAAACATTGACAGCTGTTGACTGTGCAGCAGTGTGAACTCAAGTGCTGATGGATAACAGTGCATAGTTTCCAGGTCCTCAGTCTATTCCAGGAGCTGTACATTCCCCATGCCTTGTTTATGTCTATGAGGCTCAATCTGTTTGAGCCTGACAATCGATACAGGCTATTAAACATCTGCATATCAAACACATTTCTGATAGAGAAAATGGAGGATTTCATTACAAATTCCTAAAAATTAGACACAGTTTAAAGCATCTTTGCAAGCAAACCCAGTGGTGGAAAGTAGTCTAAGTAGTGTCCTTAAATACAATTAAGAAAATTACCTATTTCCATTTTTGGTGCTTTATACTTCAAGTTGACTATGTTTTGGAGGCAAATATCCCGTTTTACTCCACTACATTTATTTGACAGCTTTAGTGAGTATGTTACTTTGCATATTCAGATTATATATTTGAAATATATATATGTAGGTTCTGTAAATAATTCAAAACTTGATATCCCTTGTTCTTGTTTTTCCTTTTAACAATATAAAACATTCTCTCATAAACAAAAAACGTGTGCTTATAGCTGAATATTTCTACATTTTGGTATGGCTACTATGCCCAGAGTTAGCTAGCAGATTTAGCTATTGCCATAGTGAACAAACAGAAGAACCAAAGGTGAAAAATGTGTTGCTGGGCCATTACTTGACATGCATTATACAGTGCAGTTTTACTGTTTCCCCAGGTATGCAGAAACCAAGAAGCACGCTAAAGTCGAAATAAATAGTTGACTGGTTGGTCAGAGAATTAACCATAAACAATTTTGACAACTGATTAATTGTTTAAGTCATTTTTAAAGCCAAAATGAAAGAGAAATTAATTTGTATGAGGCTTCTTAAATGTGATTATTCTTTCCGAGTATTAAACTCAACATCTTTGGATTTTTGACAGTTGGGGATCAGACAAAAATATGTAGGCTATACTTAGACTTCGGGGAATAAAGATGGACCTGACATTGATGACATTTAATAAACTGAACAATCAATGATCGTACAGATATTTTATTGTATAAAATATGTATACCAAAATAATAGCTATGTAGTAGATCTTAGACTATCTGGGCCCCTGAGCAGTACCCAGTTTCCCTGGCTGTTAATCCAACCTTAGCCTCCTTTAGTTAAGAGAACATCTTGTTCCACCACTGTGTAAATGTGCTATGTGGACGGCGCTGACTTCTCTCCTGTATCGTGTTGTGTACCGTATGTCTGGACTCACCTGATGACACAGGATAGTCTCGTGTACCAGCCTTGCATAGCCATCCAGCCTCACTCCTGAATTACTACGGCTCCTCATCCTGACTGTTCACTGCGCACACAGCACAACAAATTATATATAAATTTGTGCACAGCACGTGTTTATGTTATTGTCTGTAAATATGACTTCATGATAAATACAGCAGGTACATTTAACTTAATAACTGGAGTAACTTACCAAGCAGCGATCCATCATTTCAGCTCTACAGCACGGATCTGATCTGGCTCCTTCGCCGCTCCGCAGCTCTCTGCTCCAGCTGGCTAGCCGGCTAGCATCCAACTGGATTTGACACCGTTTAACGTTACGCTCACAGCCTGTATTCACACACACAGCCGGATCTTCCGCTCAAAGTGTCTGATACGTCATGCCTTATAGAGTACAGGTTTTACGCAAGAGATTCGCGGAGGAGTTATTTAATGTCTATCTGTACATGAAGAATGTATTAAGAAAGAATCTAGCATTTCCTTGTTGTTTGATAACTTAACGAAAGGGGGCGCCAAGTGACCTCTATTTCGGTCCTTTCCGAGGTTTCATCCACGGTTTTAAAGGACAGTGCTACAGTCACTTTCACTAAAAGTTCCAGCTTCTTAGCATAGCACATTTTCATACAAACGCACGGGAGACAAGTACAAAATGTAGCAAAGAGTACTCAAAGTATCAAAGTAAAAGTCCAGAAAAAATACCCCGTGAGTGTTGCATGTTTATTATTTACAATATCGGATTGTTATTACTGATGCATTAACGTGTAGCACCATTGTAGTCAAGGCAGAGCCAACTTTAACATCTTTAGGCCATATACATTTTAGCATTTCATCAATAACAACAATATTTAATAAACTGGTCATATTTGTTTTAGTCTAAGCAGGCTGCATAAATACTGTATGCAAACCAAATACTGTATGTATGTAATACAAAGGCTTTATAGGCTGTAATTAATGGCCTTATTATCAGCAGTTAACGCAAAGGTTAATCCATCACATATAGGCTAAATGTTAATAATCCATTAATAAAGGGTTCTACAATAAGCAATACAACAATATCACGTTATAGACCTGAGGACGTCTTCCATTAATAAGTAAGATGCGTGGTCTCTTTTTTTAAGATTATGACTAAACAGAGAAGTGAAAACTAAACTTTCTGCCTCAAGAAGCATAGCTGCGTGCTAGGAACGTCACGAATGACTGCATCTTTAAGCCAATCAAATTCCACAGCCGTGGCTTTATCTGCCAATCACAGCGCTCCTGCCTTAATCGTTGTTACTGCTCACCATCAACCACTATCCGCTAGCTACTTTAGCATCAGCCTGGATAAAGAGCTAGCCCATTGTAACACAGTATTATCTGCTCACTCTCTTTGTTTATATATTTCGCTTGAATTAACCGAAGTGACCGATTGTCTAAGCGACTAAGTCGAAGGTAAGCAGTCGTGTTTACTTCTCTGTAGCTTCCGTAGCTAGCTAAACGTAGCAGGAGGGGGCGCAAATGACTCATAACGTGTTGTTGATAATATGTGTTCATTCAACATGTTAGCAAATATAAGCCCATAAAACATGGCCGAAAATTTAGCTAATGTAAAACAAATGTGATCGGGGGTATTGTGTGATATTTTTCAGGTCGTATTGTTCTCGAAAACAATGCATGTATTTTTTCTGAATTAACTTTACTGTCATAAAAATACGCTATCATAAATGTCACACGATTTCTGATTAATTTACGTTACGCTGACCCCCGCCCCTTCTCTTTATTATTTTTTCTTCTTTATTGTTCTTTTCATGCATTCATCTTTCAAAACATTGCAGTTTATCTCATTTTAACCACGAATAACATCTAACCAAACCTCCCCCTTC